TTCTTTGAAGAAGACTAAGAACATCCGGCTCCGTGCCCACCTCTTCGATTCCGCTGTCCTTCCTGCCCTAACCTACGCCTCAGAGACTTGGACTCTGCGCAGGCAGGACGAGCATGCGGTCAGCGTTATCCAACGCGCTGTCGAGAGGACGATGCTAGGAGTAACCCTATACACGCAAGTGCAGAGGGGAATCCGGAGTGCCGAACTACGCCAACGATCGAAGATCAGGGACGCTGCCGTTTTCGCCAAGGAATCGAAGATAAGGTGGGCCGGACACGTCATGCGATTTTGCGATGACCGTTGGACCAGAGCGGTTACCGACTGGATCCCTCGGGACGTCAAACGAACACCTGGACGACCGCCATGGTCGACTTCTTCCCGATTTCTGAACGAAAAGGATTAAGACATCGTGTCCTCGAGCCGAAGAAGAGTCACTAGGCAACTCAGGCACGTGACAGGACACATGAACGTTCCTAACGTGATCAACGTACGACAGGTGATACAGACTTATTCAACTATCAAAAAGACCTACCAGCTTGATCATATCAGCTGCCATTGGAAGACGTCTGCCGTTGAATTTTGAAACGAATCCACGCGCTAGTCTTGATCTGAAAAGCGAAATCACAATCAATCATCAGAGAGTTTTCCCAGTACACAATTTAGGCAAACCTCCGATAATTGGTCATCTCCAGTGCTCTAGATCTGATTCTATCATTCATGCCGGGATTGCCGGGACAGATTTGGTTAATGCCTGAAACCCTCGTGTGAATCATGACTGACACCACCATTTGAAAGAAAATGATCTGATATACAAATGCTGTGTTTTGATTACCCACATCGTTATTGGGATTTGAATTTCAGAGAGGTATCTTCTTGATGAAAAAGAGCTGAACCGACAACCAATCCTCACTTTTTTCCCCTAGGAGGAATCGACCAATGATGAACCCTCAACTCAATCGTGACCTCTTCTTAACATTACACTACTACGCTTCCCATCAAGTCGCGTCGCTCCTTCTCCAAATTTGCTTTTTTTTTGACAGAGCTTGATGGTCAAGCACGAAATTTGAGACCAGCCAAAGGTTTTTTCACAACTGATACTCTGAAAAAGAAGTGGAATGTTAAGAATAAGTCGTATATAAGTTAGTTAGGAATGCGCGCCTGGTTGATTATAGCCTCTGCTCGAAGAAATTTCTTCCCAGAGAGAGGGTAAATATGCTGTTTTTCGTGATTGACACTTATCACGCGCATATGCTTAAAATTACATATTGCACTGAATATAAACAAAATAAGTAGACAAATAGAGCAGAAAGGGGCTCACGAGTGACATTCCGCTTGGTATGAGACAGTGGCGTTTCGGGATAGGAATTTCAGTTTAAAATCGTATGGCTATAGCCCGTCAACAAAAACGATCAAAAGGCATGACAGTGGCTGATAGCCAGTACACTAATAGCAGAATGTTTAGTAGAGCTCATGAGTAAGCAAAGGACACATCAATGATTGATTAGTCCTTAAAGGCAGCGGTTACGCTAGGTTTAAATGGGGTTCAGAGGGGACGAGGGGGTCCTCAATGGTACGTCAGTGGCGAAAGAAGCAGCGAAATCCGTTCAGGAAACGAGAAATGGGACCCCCTTTTGTAGCCGTTGATTGCGGCTCTCAGATGGAGTGCGGCGAAGACCGCGCACGCGTGTACGAGATTACGCAACGCGTGCTGGCACAGGACAAACACAAACAGCAGGCATGGCGCCCTAACCGCGCCGCGGCTGGCAACGCAGCTCGCCCAAGCCACCGGTGAATCAGTGGGCGTCACGTCACGCGAGGGCTCAGCAACCACAGCACCTTTCGCCGTGGGAGGACTACACATCGCTTCCTTGGCAGCCAAGTAATTGCTCCGTGTGGCGCAGGTTCTCCCCCAATGCGAAAATTCCTTATCGTAATCGCTTCCTTTAAAGGCACGAGTCAGGCTTAGTGGACCAAACCAATCCCTTTTGTCGTCTTTGTGCATGGCTGCGCACCCACAGAGACGTTACCATGCTCAGAATCCCAAACGGCGCCGTAATAAGGCTCCAGGGCACGTATTAAGCGCTTTCGCCGCCTGGCGGCGCTCCGACCGCCCACCTCCGGAAGTGGTGCGTGGCTGGCATAACGTGTGAAATCAGCTAGGTTGATTGCCGTATCAACCGATAGAACGACTGACATCTCCAGAAAACTTGTTTGTACGTGCCTCTTTCCCAAAGCCAGCCTCCTTCACTGCTAGTGGGAAAGAGGCCTTGTCGACGGTTTTTCTCAGTTTTTTCTCCACTGTCGTTCCACTTCGCATCTCTATACTCAGTTTCAATCGCCATAATACCCCCTTAATGAGCCCGACTTTTGCCTTTAAGGGATTCGCAGTAAGCCAGTTGTCGTTTCAGCATTTCGTCGGGTGGACCTCCCATTTTGCAGGCATAAAATTCAAGAACTCTGGGAAGATTGTGTAAGCAAAACAAAGCTTTTTGTAGAGCAGAAAACTTTCTTTTGAAAGGTGCATAATATAAAAGCGCAAGGATTTAGCAGAAAATTCTTTGTAAAAAAAAAGCGACATCGCTCAGAACAAACAAGGGACAACCTAATGCTGTGCTTTGGTATGATCGTTTTTGACGGACTAAACGTACTACAATACGGATTCCATCACATTGCCACTATTTTTCATAAAGGTTTAACGATTATATTAAGGATGGCACGCATTCTACTTCCATTTGTACATTCGTAGTGGCGTTTGAATGCGATGTGGCCTATACAATGACTTGCGGGGGCCAGCCGATGTACAAGTCAGTGTTTTTATCCTCCCAGACAAGTCTGGTACCAATTAACCGACCCCGGAGGGATGGAAGGCTTGGTTGGCCCGGGCGACTCACGACCCAGGATTTGATCCCCGGACCGCTCGCGTGGTAAGCGTGCCACTTGCCACTACACCACTTCCGCCCTGGGTAAACATTATACACATATTGCCAGACAGTGGTATAGTCTCTAATATGTGGTGTACTGTGAATGGAGACGGGCATTCATCACTGCAATATTTCTCTCTAAAATACTCACGGGGATTAGATGGAAGAGCGTTCGTTGTCGTTGTAGACTGTGCTTCAGTCGATGTACTTTCTTCAGTCGATGAACTGGCTTCAGAGGAAGAACTTGCTTCGGTCGAAGAGCTTGCTTCGGTCGAAGAACTTGCTTCTGACGAAGAACCTGCGTCGGACGTTGAACCTGCATCGGATGATGAGCTCGCATCGCTCGACGATGTGGCAACAGTGGTGGCGTTGTCTTTCTGGTCCTGCGCAGACACAGCAGCCGCTAGGATCTGCAGTATATCACAAAATGCCATTGGTGGCTATCTACCAATAACTTGATCTACTCCCAAACGAAGAAGAACTAAACTTACTGCGAGTAGGAGAAATGTTTTCCAGATGAACATTGTGATGTTCTCGTATAAACACAAGGATGAGCCTCTTTTATGCAGGCTCAAGGTAATATTTCGAAATACATGTTGCGCACGTGATTGTCCACTTTGTTACAAGCCATATAATGAATAGCTAACAAAAAACGCACTGCTGTTTTGATTCGTGTTTTAATTTCGCCGCCTCTGTTACGTTGTCAACTTGACGTTTATTACTTTCATTCTATGCGATTGTGGGCAGATGTAGTGTTGTAGGAATTGCCTACTTATCATACTCACGATCCGAGCATCAAATTTTGAAACGTTTAGGTATACCACGCCGTCCACCCCTCCACGCTCGGTTAATTGGTATCGCCTTTGTCTGAGAAGGTTGTACATCGGCTTTTTCCCACCGTTCCACATTTCTAGCTCGAATCTCATTTGAAATGCTGCTAGGAATGGAAGCGGGTGCGTACTTCCTGAAAACGACTCAGATGAGGTCATTTTCTTTATTACATTTGTTCCATACATTAAACGCTTGAACTTACTTTGATTTTCCCCAAGGGTTGTTCAAGGTTGGTCTCCCTCATCCTTACATTATGGCTTAAGCCAGGAGAAGAAATAATTCTGCCCTGCAGATGGAGGATCACCTGTATCACCTGTATCACCTGTCGTCCCGTTGATCGTCGATTTGCTCGAGCGGGCGCCAGCAACGTCTCCATTCGTCCCTGTCGCGTGCAGAGTTGTCCAGTGGACCCTCCTCGCTCGA